TACATATACAGTCAAACCTCTTTAATTCAACACCCCAAGGGATCAGAGCTTTCGGTTGAATTAAAGGAAGTGTTGAATTAAGGTTAGATGATTATCTAATCATCTAACTCGCTAAAATAATATTTTTTAAAAATTTCTTTGTAATATAAATTAATGATATTAATTGAAACCATTCTATGTACTTTTTTGTATTTATTTTTTTATTTTCATGATTAACTTTTAGTATCAGGGACAAAATGGCAATAATACATATTTTCGAAACATAATTACAAATAACATTTTATTCTAATTGAAGAGTATAGCAGTTGAAAGGAAATAAATAAGGAAAATAAAAATAAATTTTAAAAATATAATTTAAAAATAATCATGAAGATCTTTTTAAAAATTCCTTTATAGATGTCTGTTTTTGCACTGAAACCCCATTCAGGGTGTATTCCAGATGGTCTATTTTAAAAAACATGCATGTCTTTTATCCTCTGTAATGTGTTTTAAATAACAAAGAGCGTTTATTGTATTATAGCCATCCACTGCTGCTGCAGGTGTTATTGATTTTGCGTTTAAATCTTTTATAATGACATGGAAATGGAATATTGAAATAAAATGTTATAATAATAATTGTGGCTACATTTTATGAAGATTTATTCATTTAAAAAGAAATTATTTGTAAATTTTCAAATAACTAACATATTTCAATGCTGAAAATTAAAAAGAAAATAATATTATTAATTAGTGCATGAAGCCTAAATTCCAGCGTAAAAAAAAAAAAATAATAATAATAACACTCGCGACATTGCGTAACGGCACTGCAAAGTGAAACTTAAACTAACAGAAACCAAAAGTGCGCAGGCGCGATCCTATCGGTAACCGCCGAAATACCTTTTTGGTGGTAAAGTTGTATGTAAAATGACATTCAATTGTCGAAATTTGAATTTTAAAATGGTTGAACTATCGGAACTGTCGTATTATCGATACTGTCGAATTACGGTTTGTTGTTTGATAGGCCGGAGGTCGGGACATCAGAATATGGTCGAATTAAGTCAGAGTGTCGAATTTGCGTATGTAGAATTAACGAGCTTATACTATATATTTTTCTACCTCTCATTGTGCACCTTCACTTTGATCTGATTCTAGGTTGAGAAATCTCCCACTGAAATGATGTGTGCCATATTGTAAGGCCTGTCTGGTAGCAGGAGGTTTGAGGGGTGATCATTGTAGGTAGGGGACAATAAGGGGATGACCTCCCTCCCTCCCAAAGGCAAATGACCCCATCTGTTAAAACTTGTGACAATTTAGCCAGAGATTGTAAAATATGTATACACTAAAACCACCCTTTAGGGGACACCTCTCTTAAAAGGACAGTTTTCATTTGCAAAATTACCATTTTTACTATTTAGAAACTCTCTTGTAAGAGGACACCCCTCCCTAAAAGACACTTTGGCTCTTCAATTAGGTGTCTTTTACAGGGAGGTTTTACTGTATATGTAAATACTTTAATTTGTTTGTTAACTTTTTTTTTATGTGTATAATTCCTAGCGAAGAATATTTTATTTATTTATTTATTTATTTATAAATTTGGTATAAATTGAAAGTTTTTCATAATTACTACTTATGAACTCTGCCTTTGCTGGTCCCAAGCCCGAATGAAAAAGGAGGAGGGGGAGCAGTAACAAGCTCTCTAAAAAACCTGGGTTCAGCTGGCCCAGCTGATAGTACCTTGTAAGGGCTCCTAATCCAGGGATACAGGATGAGCAGTGTTTGTACTCCATGTTAGGAGCAGCTGCATATGGCGCCTGTTCCTCATGTCAGAGGAGGCCATTTCTTTTGGAACTAAGTCAGCCTGCCACTGAGTAGTGCTCCCAGTCTTAATGACAAAGGCAGAAGCATTCTACTTCACCCAGTCATGATGGTTGTCAAACACCATCAAGGGTCACAACTTGATACTCTAATATGATTGAGTGGAGATAAGAAAGAAGAAGAAGAAGACTACTTTTTTTGTGGGGGCAGCTGACTTTGTAATTCAACAGAAAGTTATTACATCAAGGTGTTGAAAGAGTTTAAGATTCTAAAACTACTGTCTAGAATATTGAGATGGAATCCAACTTCTCCATTAATTATCTCTGCCAAGGTCTTCCCATCTAAACTATCACTAATCAGATCAGTGTCATGTGCTGACAGACTTGTGTTGATATTGTGGTAATTTCCCAATGCTTGCCTATTTCAGGTTTAGGATTAGCATATATATAATATAGCATATGATATTTTAATGTTTTATATTTTTAATTCTTACAGGATAAGGCACAATTTAGATTATAAACAAAAGATAATAAGACATATCCGAATAAATAGTGTGTGACGTTTCCGTAACAACACTGTTACCAAAACATCACACACTATTTATTTGGATTTGGTCTTATTACCTTTTGTTTTTAATTTTTACAGTTACTCATGAACACAATGTTTTCTTCAGCTATCTTTTCAAACAAATACCTTCAACTGACTGGATATCAATCAATTTTGTGCACTATTTTTTATCTCTATAGATGGTAGCAATGCTGTTCCCAAAACACTATGCATAATTTTCTTATTTGGTCTCTTGTTCCCATGATATTCTTAACCAATTCCTTTTCAAACAACATCTCTTTAATTCATAGATATGACAATCCCAAATAAGCAATTTCTATGTAAGAACATGTCTTGCTATCATCCTCAGACAGAATTATAAGGTGGTGCTATCTATATATAAGAAATAGAAGCATTAAGGCACAAAGGTTTCGTTTTAAAATTGAAAAAAAAAAAAACTTATACTGTTCTTACTTTGATGAAAAACTGATGAGCCAAGCCCTCCCAATATTTTTTTCATCGCAGTAAGGACAGTAGAAGTTTGTTTTATATTTAAAAAGAATTAATGAAATTGTCAATTAACCTGTGACCCATGCAGGACACCCCATTTTCTACTGTCATCCTACTTCCAGAGAGAAGCATTTTCTGCCAATTTTGACACTTACCACACACAAAACAGCAGTTATATAAGCTCTTCTTCCCTATCAGACAAATATTTACCTTTCAAATATTTCCACTTCAACAAAAGATGGCTGCTGCTATAAAGTTGAAACAGTTTCTCAAGAAATTCTTGTTAATAGGTAGTCCTCCCTGTACTTTTATCCCTCTTTTAATATGAATCTTGGAAGACCGCACAAAAAAATCTGCATAATGATTTTTTTTTTTTAATTTTGAATACAATTTAAAGAACTATTGCATTTTATATTAATAAAATGTGGGGCAAACAATATCCAAATTATTCAATTTTTTTTTTTTACATTAGATGTTATTAGGGTGGAGCTACAGAAAAAAAAAACTATTTTTTTCTAAACTTACAGGAGAATCTTGTAGAAGACTGAAATGTCATAATAAAGGCTGTGAGAACTGAAGAGGAAATATTAATGATGTCCCTAACTTTATTCACATGTTTTTCTCTTTTTTACTCATCACAAAAAAAAATATATATATATTTTAGGGCTCTTAAGATTTTAACCATGTTTTTTAAATCTTTAATTCTATATTTCCCTTTTCCTCTTTATCCTTCTGATAACATTAAGACATGCTGTGATATTGAATGTCTTGTCATCTTACTTATCTCTGCTCAACCAGGATTGAGTGAAGTAAATTGAGTCTATCATTAAGTAGCAGGCTGACTTAGGTCTAATATAAAATGCCCGCCTCTAACATGAGGAACAGCTGTCATGTGCAACTGCTGCTTCAACTACAGCCGTGTTAGGCTAAATGTAATCATGATTACATTTCTATAATTACAAGTAATTGATAAGGTACAATTTATGTTATAGATTCGAAGCACAATTAATATATACAGTTATCAGCATCATGCATTCTTTCTTAATTCTGTCACCGTTTGCTTTTGGTTCAGTGGTAGAATATTCGCCTGCCATGCGGGCACCCCGGGTTCGAATCCCGGCAGATGCATTTTTTTTTTTTTTTACAATTTTTAAAACTCATTTATATATTATACAAGAATGACATCCACGGCGCCAATTTATATTTGTAACGAATAGTATTTGAATAAAAGCATTTAATCGGGTAAACCCCGGGCGTTGCCCGGGTCATTCAGCTAATGTATAATAAGAACAAATCCAAATTAATAAAGTATGTATAATTTATATAATAAAAATTGTACCTTATCAATTACATGTAATTATAGAAAATGTAAACATGATTACATTTAGCCCAACAGTGGAGTAGACAGACTGGAGCACCTATCAGCTGGACCAGCTTGTTGCTGAATCTCCTCCAGACTTGAGAATGGCAGAGTTTTCTGTGGATGGTACCAGTACTGTAAACATCCCATATACTTGCAGTATAACCCCACCATTTCAACACCTACTATAATGCAATCCATTTTTATAAAGTCCTAACAAATTTCCATTCAAAATACAATCTTGAATTCAAGAAAATTCAACATTTGCTATTATACACCATTTTAAAAATAAAATCAACCAATTTAATATACCTATAATATGACAGTACACCATAATATGATAACAAAATATCCACAACAACTATAAATGTTGTGATGAAATTGATAATTAGAAAGTATCTGAACATACCATATAATCCAATGCTGACTTTAATTCAGCAGAAAACTCTTGGATTGTTGAATTCTAGAAGTTTTGAGTGTTTGTCGAATGCTGTTAAATCACAGTGTACTTATTTGGATTTTAGAGGGAGAAGGTTGTATTGTTCTATCCCCATGGTGTTGTTCTCCATAACTGACGTCACTGTCGAATGCTGTTAAATCACAGTGTACTTATTTGGATTTTAGAGGGAGAAGGTTGTATTGTTCTATCCCCATGGTGTTGTTCTCCATAACTGATGTCACTATGGAATGTGTGTAACAATATTGTTGTTGTTGTGTCAATGTGTTTTGGGACTGGGTCTATGTCTACAGTGCCTTTCACCTGTATCATTTTCCAATCAAGATATTCCACATCACTATAGCAGCACATTTCTTTTATTGCTTATAGATAGACTGGCAATCCCCAGTTTTAATCAGAGTGTGTGAATTTTTACCTGAGGGCATATATATAATACTGTTTTATGATGAATAATATTTGTTACAAAAATAGAGCATTGTTAATCTTTTGGAGAGTGTTTACTACTGAAATTTTATGATGGACTGAGCCTAAAGAATTAAAATTTAAGTAGTTTCCAGTGTTCTAGTATTCAGTTCACTGGAAACTAAATTTCAATTCTTTCGGCCCAGTCCATCATAAAATTTCAGTAGTAAACACTCTTTCCAAAATATTCATTACATTCCCTGAGTGGATGTTTGCCCAATGAATAATGTTTCAACAAATATTATTTATTGACTATATTTTAAAGATTCTATAGTAAAATATATATTTTATAGCAAAATAATTGAAACAAATTTGTGTGTTAAAATGACGATGATCATAGTAATAATGGTACAGTTAAACCTGTCTATAGCACCCCCTCTAAATAGCGCCTCCCTCTCCATAGCGCCCAATTTTAAATACATAGTACGGTGCAATTTACATTAAAAGTGACCTGTCTATAGCACCCCCTCACTATAGCACCCTATTTTGGTGAGTCCCAAGAGGGGGTGCTATAGACAGGTTTAATTTTGTATCTTCAAGACTTGATAAGAGGTTTAATGATATAATCGTAATGAATACACCATTTATAATATCTTCTTTCTTATCTCCACTCAATCATATTAGGGTCTGGGTGAAGTAGAATGCATCTGCCTTTGTCATTAAGACTGGGAGCACTACTCTGGCAGGCCGACTTAGCTCCAAAAGAAATGCCCGCCTCTGACATGAGGAACAGGCGCCATGTGCAGCTGCTCCTAACATGGAGTACAAACACTGCTCATCCTGTATCTCTGGATCAGGAGCCCTTACAGGGTACTATCAGCTGGGCCAGTTGAACCCAGGTTTTTTAGCGAACTTGTTACTGCTCCCCCTACTTCTTTTTCATCCGGGCTTGGGACTGGCAAAGGCGGAGTTATAATACAACTAGCTGAATGACCCTGGCAACGCCCGGGTTTTACCCGATTAAATGTTTTTATTCAAATACTATTTGTTACAAATATAAATTGGCACCGTGGATGTCACTTTTGTGAAACGTCCCGCTCCAAACTTTGTGTGTTTTTAAAATATAAAAATAAATATGTAAATTTTCACAACGATATTTGAAAATTATATTATTTTGATTTTCAAATACTATTCGTTACAATTATAAATTGGCGCCGTGGATGTCACTCTTGTGAAACGTCCCGCTCCAAACTTTGTGTCTGAGAAGCGATATTTTTATAGAAAGATGATCTGGCTTTTGTTTTCTGCTTGAATGAATGTTTTTCTGTTAGAATTTTGTTCCTGCGTACAAAATAATGAACTGGTTTCACCCGTGGTCTCTGCTTTTTGGAATTTTTCCCGATATAATTTTGTATCTGATAATCAAACATGATACAGCAATATCGTCATCATCATTTTCTGACTAAAAATATATAGTTTTAATAATTGATTCATATATTTTTCAAAATAGCCTATCGTCTTCCCCGTATTTTTTTTACCTATGTATGGAAATTTTGGTTTGAATTAGTGAATTACTGCGAATTTGTATACCGGACATACAAACAAACAAACATACAAACATTCATTTTTATATACAGTATATAGATATAATGCGGCTTATGATTGTAAAACAACGTTTGACAAGTTTTATCGCAAATGTTTCTTTTGAACGAAAAATCGTAATTTATTTTAAGGAGAAATAACAAATATTTCTATCCTTAGGGATGAAGTATGAAAGGATGAATTGTGGAGAGTAATGACTAATGGAAAATAAAAGTGTCCATCCCTGGATGGATTTTTCGTTCAAAAGAAACATTTGTGGTAAAACTTGTCAAACGTCGAACACACCATTTGTTAAAACAATATTCATCTGTCAAATATTCATTCTGGAAGAAGCTGGGTCATTCAGTTAGTATATAATAATTATAATCATTTTTATATAACTCTTAAAATAGTTTTTATTTACAGTTGAACCGTCTATAGCGCCTTCCTCTCTATAGTGACAGATTTTAAATACGTAGTACGATGCAATTTACATTACCTGTCTATAGCACCCTATTTTGGCGAGTCCCAAGAGGGGGTGCTATAGACAGGTTTAACTGTATTAGGCTTTAAATGACTTTTGTGTTGATTTATACAATCAACTATAAATGTCTTCCTTCAAATAGGCACTAAAACTAAACACCATCTATTGACTGTCCACACAAACTAGCTCACTCATGTCGGTGACAAAGCCACACTTTTATTTGTATATTTTATAACTCCGCCTTTGCCGGTCCCAAGCCCAGATGAAAAAGGAGAAGAGGGAGCAGTAACAAGCTCACTAAAAAACCTGGGCTCAGCTGGCCCGGCTGATAGTACCCTGTAAGGGCTCCTAATCCAGGGATACAGGATGAGCAGCGTTTGTACTCCATGTTAGGAGCAGCTGCACATGGCGTATGTTCCTCATGTCAGAGGCGGCCATTTCTTTTGGAGCTAAGTCGGCCTGCCACTGAGTAGTGCTCCCAGTCTAAATGATAAAGGTAGACGCATTTTACTTCACCCAGATATGATGGTTGTCAAACAGACACCATCAAGGGTCACAACTTGATACCCTAATATGATTGAGTGGAGATAAGGAAGAAGAAGAGATATTATTTTATTGATTAACTTCCTCCTGGAAAAATTTCCAACTCTGTTCAACTATATACCTGCAAAATTTTACAATTGTTTTCAGTAGTGTTATTTGTAAATATTGGTATCATCAATTTATTTTTAGAAGAATAGATTCAGTAATTTTAGTATTTATTTTGTGAAAAAGATAAATTTCAAAATTTTCATAAATTATATAGATAATGATGTTATTGATTCGATATCTTTTTAAACATCATAAAAAATACAACCTGGTTCTCCTGGTGTGGATGTTTGCCCAAAAATATAGTTTCAAAAAATGTCAATTTCGTATGGAATTATGTTTTAGTGCAGAATAAAGTTTACCTGTTTTTTTAATATAAGTTAAAGGAGGCTTTTACTTTTTATTTCACAAATATTAAAAAAAAAAATCAATTGGATCTTTATGACCACTAATTAGTGATTATGATATATAATCATAAAGGGGGTCGGTGGAAGGATGGTCTAAACCGTTGGTTTTCGATCGCTATGACCCGGGATCAAATCCCACATTGGGCACTTTTTTTCTGATTTAAAAAAAAATGCCCCAATGACCTCTGATTCTTGCAAAAGTCCAACCCTACCAGCGAGTGCAAGTAACCAAACAGGGCTCTGGCACATTTGTAAGTGCAAAGTCAAACTGCTTTTCACATGTATAAACATGTGGTGCACCTACAGTAAAAGCAGTCGCCTACTTCTACTCACCATGATTATCATGGCCTGTACCATGTGTACTAGGGATAAGCAAAAAAAAAAAAAAAAAAAAAATCATAATAAATAACATTTGTTAAAGCAAAATTTGCCTGGCAAAAATTCACCAGGGGAGAAACCCTGCAAAGCTGAGCCATCAATTATCATAATTTTATAACTTTAAAATATGAAAAATTGTTTAATTTCATTCTTTGAATAGCTTATATATTAATTTATGTATTCAGATACCTACATGCAAAATTTCTCATGGAAATAATATGGATTCAGTAGGGAGTGGATGCTAGCCCCGCGTTCAACAAATGTTGGTTAGGCAAACTTTCACTCAGGTAAAACAAACCGGGTGAAGCCAGGTTTATTCACTAGTCTATATATATATAAAAATGAATGTATGTGTGTGTCTGTCCTTTATGCCTGACCAAACCACTCATTGGAACGCCATGAAACTTTGGGAAGTTATTTAGTATAGTACTGGGAAGGTTTCTGAAAAATAATTTCTTGAATATCCTTAGA